CCCAGCTGCTCCACGAAGGCACCAGTCCAGGCTCCGGCCGTGATGATGATCCGAGGGGCTTTGTACACGCCAGCAGTGGTGGTGATGGTGACCGTGGCCCCGGGTTCGATGCGCAGCACCTTCTCCCCGTCCCGCAGGGTGCCCCCGTGCCGGCGAAAGACCTCCTGGGTGGGGAGGGTGACAGGAGGTGGCTGTGAGGACAGACTTAGGGGACCCCCCATGCCGTCCCTAATCATCCCATGCCATCCCGAATCATCCCATCCCCTCAGCAGCACCCACCTGCACTGCCCTCAGTGCCCGGTCAGCGAACAGCACCCCGGCACTTTCGTCCACCACGGCCACCTGACCGGCTTGCAGTCGGAAGCCGGGGTAGCGCTGGGCCAGCGCCGCGGCGTCGAGGAACTTGTCGATACCCAGGCTCTTCCTGCAGCCCTCCAGCTCCGGCTCTCCCGGCGGCCCCAGCAGCACCAGTCCCGTCTGCCTGCATCCCACCAGACACATCAGCTCGCCCTGCTCCCCCTCCCCGCAGGAGCCCCCCGTTTGCTTTGCCCTTGGGGGAAACTGAGGCACGGCGRCGCCAGTGATGTTTGGGATGYGCTACACCCTGGTGCTGGGTCACCCCGCAGTGGGATGAGGGTGACAARGACAGAATGGTTGGGGTGAGATGCACGTGGAGGGTTCGGACACTRACATCACACTCTCCCCCTAAATACAGCAAGAGCCGTCAGCCCTGACCCCGCACCGGAGGAGCATTTGGATGCTCATTTCCTTAATGACATTCCCTTCATGGAGCCCCATAAATTACCAGGAACTGGCAGCTGCCTGCCGAGGAAGCCGCATCCCACCCAAAGGTCACCGCCCCCAGTTTCGCGGGGAGGGGACGGTGCCCTGCGGTGGCTGCGTCCCCGTCCCCATCACCTGTAGAGGGTGGTGCCGGTCTCGGCCTCCAGCTGCTTCCAGAGGCGGAAGCTGTCGGGCATCATGCGGGAGTAGTACTCCTGGGGGTAGGCGCTGCGGATGATGCGGCTCTGCCCGTGTGAGCTGCCCCGAGAGTGGGGCAGGGGGAACTGTGGGGCATAGGGGACATGGGAGTGACCGGAGACACTGCCACCCCCCACCCAGCCAGCCCCATGCACGGTGGGACACAGCCTGTCCTGTCACCTGTGGCACTGGGAAACTGCAGGAAACGGAGGTCCTGGTGCTGGGGACATGGAGGTCCTGGTGTTGGGGACAGGGAGTCCTGGTGCTGGGGACATGAGGGTTCTGACACTAAGGACAGGGGGTTCTGGTGCTGGGGACATGAGTCCCTTTGTAGCACTGGGCAAGAGAAGATCCTGGCGTTGGGGACATGGGGGTCCTGGCGTTGGGGACAGGGGATCCTAGTGCTGGGGACATGAGGGTCCTGGTGCTGGGGACATGAGGGTCCTGGTCCTGGGGACATGAGGATCCTGGCACTAAGGACAGTGGGTCCTGGTGCTGATGACATGAGTTCCTCCGTAGCAACGGGCAAGAGAAGGTCCTGGCACTGGGGACAGGGGATCCTAGTGCTGGGGACATGAGGGTCCTGGTCCTGGGGACGTGAAGGTCCTGGCACTGGGGACAGGGAGTCCTGGTGCTGATGACATGAGTCCCTCCATAGCACTGGGCAAGAGAAGATCCTGGCGCTGGGGACATGAGGGTCCTGGCACTGGGGACAGAGGAGTCATGACATTGGGGACATGGGGGTCCTGGCACTAGGGACAGGGGGTCCTGGTGCTGATGACATGAGTCCCTCCGTAGCACTGGGCAAGAGAAGGTCCTGGCACTGGGGATGTCAGGGTTCAGGTGCTGGGGACAGGGAGATCCTGGTGCTTGGGACAGGGAGTCCTGGCACTGGGGACTTCAGTCTCAGCAGCGGCTCTGCTCCGTGCCATGGTGGAGAGCAGCCAGGTCTGCAGGCACCCGCCCCAGCCTGTTGGGGCTGGGGACATGGCAGAATGGGGTCACCATACCTGCTCCAGCAGCAGCGTGTCCTTGTGGCACTGGGCCAGGTGGTAGGCAGTGAAAGAGCCCTGGATGCCGGCCCCGATGACGATGACATCGTAGGTGGCCTTCTGGGGCTGGCTTGGGGCAGCCATGCCTGTCCTCGTCCCTGCTGCTGTCACTGTGGCCACTGGGAGGGGAGCCAGGGGGAGGAACGGGGCAGAGTCCAGCCAAGGCGAGCGGGCGGTGGAGCCTTGGCCACCTGCCAGCCCTTGGGGACACAGGGGCGCACAGAGGCCACATCCTCCCAACCCCTGCGGCTGGCTATGCAGGAACATTCCCATTCCCATTCCTATTCCCATTCCCATTCCCATTCCCATTCCCATTCCCATTCCCATTCCCATTCCCATTCCCATCCCTATCCCTATCCCTCCACCAACACCAGCACCTGGTCCCACCAGGGCAGGCAGCTCATCTGATCCCAGAGAAAGTGGGATAGATATGGAAAATTGCTTCCAATTAATCCCCCTTTCCCTCTCCACTGGTCACTGCTGGCTCCTGGTGGGACACAGGGCTTCCATTCATGTGCCAATGGGAAACCCCCACTTGATTCCAAGCAAAACAGAGTTTGTTTTTTTTTCCTCCAGCACAATTTATTGCAGCCATAAACCATTTTGTTGCCATCTCTTGTTGTTATTTCTTTTTTCACGGRAGATAGGGGTGATTTAGGGCTCACCAGGATGCAGCGCAGAGACCCATGGTGGGTTTTGCAAATCTGCAAAATTTTCAGGGTGTGATTTGGGGTTTGGGGATATTTAGCAGTGTTTTGGAGTGGGGGATAACACAGGCAGGGGCTGCCAGTTTTGCCCACTGTTGCCACTGCCCTGTGCTGCCTGACAGCTAATTAGGGGAATTAATTCACTCYGGCTTCTGTGGTGTAAAAGGCATTATTTACTGGTTAATTGTCGTTATTACAAAACATTAAATATCATTATTTATTTTGCCACTCTCCTCTGGTGATGAATGAAGCATCGGGGAGCACTGGAGGCCCCCGCCGGGTCACAGGGACACCCCAACATGGTGAAAAGGCAGAATTGGCAGCTCACAGGGGTGGGGAGGTGAGAGGAGGAGGATGGGCAGCACGGGCAGAGGTTGGGGTGTCCCTCAAACCCCTCATCCACCCACTGCCCATGACCACTGCTGCAATGAGTKCATCCCAGTCTCACAGAGCCCAGGGCTCTGCGTCTCACAGGGCTCCATTAAATCAGCACATCCTCGCTCGCCTTTGATGTTACAAATAATTCAGCAATTTCCCTGGGTTTCAGCTGACTTTTTTTCCTTGCTTTGAATAGCCCCTCTACTTGCTCTTCCTTTTTTGCTGGAGAGATGAAGAATAATTAATTATCCGTGAAACGTTAAATGGTAGAAATGAACTCCTCTCCCGTTAGCGGTGTGGTAATAGAACGGACAGAAAAGCCTCACTTGTGATGTTCCAGAGGTGGTGAGACCTTTGGTGGGATCCCCAGGGCTYTGTGGGACCCCTCAAGCCACATTTCATTCCACAGATGACCCCAACCAGGCCTSATCCCAGGCATCAGGCAGGTCTGCACCCCCAGACCCCAAAAAGCTGCTGCAAGACCTCAATTTGCTTTAGGGKGAATATTTGGGGGGGTCCCCCCAGCCCTGAGCCAGGGTCTCCATCCCCCCTGACACAGCCTCTTCATCTGGGTTTGTAATAACTGCAGACAGAGCTTGTGGCAGCAAGAAATCCATTTCCCTAAGCAGCCGGCGTGGGTCAGGAGAGCTCAGTAAAAATGAAATATTCCCTGTGTGCTCTGGGAGGATGGATGGGAAAAATCAGGGCTGGTAACGGTGTGGGGAGGGGGAAATGGGGGCTTGGGGAACCGCCCAGCACAGGMTGTGGGAGCTGCCCCAGCTCGGGTCCACGTGGCACTGAGGAAATGGGGAACTTTGGCCAAGGTTGGGCAAGGATCAGATGCAGCTTGATGGGTGCTGGACTCTGCACCCACTGCGCCCTCCCTGTCCATTGTACATCGGGACAAAAGTTACCCCAAATCCCATCATCCATCRCTGCCGGCCTCATTTTCCACCGAGCACAAACCAACGCTTAAAAAAGAATTAGGGGAGCGATTCTGTTCCCCAGGGAGCCGAGGGAAACTCGGCATTTTTCTCTCTCAGCCACAACACGCTGGTTCCACGCACGTTTGCCCCCATTTTCCTCCCCAGACCTCGCCATTCCCCATGCTTTGATGGCACCTGCAAAGGATTGTTTGTTTTCTGTCAAAACCAACAGCGGCTGAAGGCAGCCCCTCATTAGCAGTCCAGGTACGTGCCTGGGGAAGCATCAGGCAGATTAAAATTATTTGAATATCATAATATTAGAAACTTCAATTTGGCCTCAAAATGCTCATCTCCCGAGCCCTACCAGGGCTTTGCTGCATTAAACATTGATGGCGCTCACGGCGGATCAAAGTTTTGGGTTTAGAGCTGAAAGTGCTTTGCGGGAGAGAYGGCGGCACCCCCGGGATGAGAAGGATCCCAGCATTGCTTCCAGCCCCGCTCCCACCGCGGCCGTGGGGCTGGTGGCACGACAGACAGCGCCACGGGGTTGGTGGCACGCAGCRTTGGTGGCACGCAGCCCATGCCATGGCACTGGCTGCTGCTCTGCTCTTGGCTCCCCACGCCAAGCCACGCCATTCTCCAAGGCAGGAATGATGCACGGCAGCAAAGCAGGACCTGGGATTAAAATTAAACCCCGCTGGAGCTGGCTGCGTGGGCTGCGTGTGCAGCGGGGCCGGCCGGCCTGCGGGGGATCCGGGCGAGGCGAAGCCATCTGGGCTTTTGCAGGGAYGGGGAAGGGGTTATTAAACAAAGAGCTGTTTTTTTCATATTTTTAACACCCGCAAGAGCCGTCCATCAGCCAACATAGAGCTGCTCGGTGCCGGTGCCAACGCCATCTGCCCACTGCAGGGCTGGCTGCCCTCCGGGACCCCGAGGCAGGGGGTTGGGGAGGGGCTGTTGGACCCCCACCACAAAGAACAGCGGCCCTCCCTCTATGCTCTTCCGGATCCAGGCGTCTCTGCTGGGGGGATGATGAGCCCAGCCCTAATTTAGGMTATTTAGGGAAAGGGAAAGGCAGCTTGTGGGGGAGGCTATGGTGAGAGTTCTGGAGATTGTGGACGCACGATATGGTGAGGCGGGCACCGAGCACCTTTCCCACAGCCCTCGGTGGCTCCCACCCTGCAGGGTTTGCCGGGATTCGGGGAGGAAGGGGGGGGTTAGGCCATCCCCCTCCCCCAACCTTCATCTCCAGCTTTAGCGGGCGCCGCACTCGAAGAGTTACGGCGTGGGGGTGGGGTAGCAGGGAGGAGCCCCCCCTCCCAGCCTGCGGGATTGGAGGGCGCTGCGCTCGGAGAGTTACGGCGAGGGGTGGGTGGTGTCCCTGGGATTGGCGAGCGCCGCGCTCGGAGCATTACGGCGGGGGGGGGACCGAGGGGGAGGCGGGCACAGCCCCCCCATCACATCCCCGGCACTGGGTGTGCGCAGCGATCGGAGCATTACGGCGGGGGGGGACCGAGGGGGAGGCGGGCACAGCCCCCCCATCACATCCCCGGCACTGGGTGTGCGCAGCGATCGGAGCATTACGGCGGGGGGGGTGAGGGGGAGGCGGGGAGAGCCCCCCCCGTTCCTTGGATTGGTGTGCGCCGCGCTCGGAGCATTACGGCGCCCCCCCCTCCGCCGTCCCCGGTATCGGCGGGCGCC